TTGGATAGTTCAGGTGGCGAACTGTCAGGTCCTACTGCTCACTATCATTGAGAGTGAAGACTCTTCCTCAATTTAAGTTTAGGTTGCTTTCGCTCATTGTCGTGGTCAGAGTGAGCTGGAATCAGTCTCCTCCCATCAATTACTTCAGATGGCGTCGCCGAAATCAAATAATGTTTGTTAATCCTCATGTGTAGGTTACTGATAGCCTTTACCGCTGTTTCTACACTCGACTTGACGTCACGCCAGGTTTCCTCAGCATGAGTATTACAGTAACGTTCAGATAAATTCTTATCTAACTCCTCTCCAAGGGTGTTCTCGATGTTCTCATCCACCAATCAACCATAGAAAGGCCTAACTAACGCCTATTTCCTGCGACCAGAAAGGTGCGGACACAGGAGCCTGACCCTATCAAACATTGGTTCACAGCAACATGACCTGTCTGTGTCCATCGTTAGTTTGATGTCGGCGAAGGCCATGTGAAACAGTTTGTCTCCCAATGCTTGATGTTAATGCTGAATCCAGACAAGTGATTGTTAGAACCAAATTGCAACGGGCGATCATCGTTGACATGGCATTCCGTAAATACCATCAAGATGCCTTTCCGACTGGCTCCGCTCAGCTTTCCTACTTGGGCATTAAAGTCACCTACTGTTATAACTACATCTGAACGATTTGATTTCTGTAGCAAAGTTGACAGATTCTCATAGAATTCATCCTCTACATCACTCAAACTACAGTCGGTGGATGCGTAGGCGGAGATTACGAATAGGCATCACCTAGTCTCACAATCCTTCTTATTCCTTACGGATTCACTCTGTCGAACAGCACATAGACGGCTGTTGACTGGAATTTATTTCAGAAGCTCACTTTCTGCACTACAACTGAATGCTATGCCTACAACAGTTGTGCTAAGTCCACAAGAGCCAGCCATCTGGTCTGCAAATACTCGTAAGGTGAATTTTGAGGAATAATTACCATGACCAGGTGACGTGAAGTGATGGATAACCACACTCGGGTCCTGTATATGTGTTTCAGATACATAGCACATATCCATGGCTAGAGATTCCAGAGTTTTGGCAACCGATGCTTGCTGTCCGATTTGGCATAGAGTTTGGACGTTGAGAGCTCCAGTGTGAAATCGATGGCGAGGTCTTAGGAAACTAGGAGTGAGGTTTCGATGGCTTGGATCGTTGACAGCGATAGCAGAGTGAGAGGTTGGAAAGGCGTAAGAGATTTTACGTTAGTATCGGGAGGTGAAGATGAAGGAGGAGACAGAATTGAGGAAGATATGTTATGTTTGATTGGGTCTTGCGTACCACTGGAAGGGTTCGGGTGATTGACACCTTCCAGTTGCCCACACCATGGAAGGCTAGTTTATGAAGAAGTATCCGAAAAAGAAGTGTTAGTGAGCGACCGCAGAGCCTATGGAAAATACAACACTTTACTGCTGTTACACATCATTCAGCCAGTAGTATGACTTCGCCCTCAGACCCCCATTATAGAATGGCAATTTGCAATATAATGGTAACTGGTTTCAGTTTAACCACTATCCAATAGATCTATCTGACATGATAGGGTCTCGAGTGAACAAGCGTTCAACCAGTATAGCTCGTTGGATCATTGGGATATACGGGCCTGACCACTACGACGAGATAGCGGCTATGGTCGGGTGCAGACTAGAGACAACGCTAGGCTTCAAGATAAGTAACGACAACTACGTCTAAATGTTCGGCTTTCAGTAGGAGGCTAAATATTTTTCGGTAGAACTCATCATTCATTTCATTTGAACTGTAGTCTGTGGATGCGAAAGCAAAGATTACAAAGAGACAAATATTAGTTTTCCATTATTTTTGATCCTGGCTGCGCAACCTAGTTAAACAGCGCGAAGAAGGCTGTAAACTGAAATCCAGTTGAGAAGAGCACTATCTGCCATAGCATTTAATGCTTTACCTACGCCTACAAGGCCGGGAGAACTGGCCATTGAATCTCCAGAAACTCCAAAAGCGAATTTCGCAAACTCTCCATATTGACCGGTTGAAATTAATTGAATAACCGCATTTGGGTCCTATGTGCGTATCTCACAGCACACATCCGTGGTACTAGATACTAAATTTTTGGCTAACTAAGCTTGTTAGGGAATTTGATAGGATGCGTGGAAATTGAAAGGTCTAATGTATAGGTTGCAGCGTGGTTGCAGGAGACCAGTGGTGCTGTCCCATGAACTCATATCGTCATCGAGAACTGAAGAGCTGGAAGAAATTAAAGATGGCTTAGGAATCTTTACCAATAAATGTGAAGAAGGATTAGAAGGCGAAATTTGGAAGTTCGGTAATGATCTGAAATACACTGAATGCTGAGGGCGGTTGATAGGTCCCAAATACCCACGACGTGGAAGGTTATTTCTTATGAAAATGAAATCGGGTAAGTAATAGTAGTGCGTGACCTTAAAGCCCAAGGGACATCTGCTTGATGCCGGGCAGATACTGTCTTTTTAGAAGTGTGAGGTATAAGTTAGTTTGCTTGGAATTCACCTATAAACCCATACGACTGGAACCGAAATACCGCAGAGTAGGGGGTAGTGGGCTGTTTTTGAGGCTAACCTTTCCTAACCTCAGCCCCTTCTAATATGGAAGGCAGCATCAACATAATGCTGCTGGTCATCCAATGGAAACACCTTGATGCTGTCACATCCCATCCAGTCAGCAGTAAGACTTTGCCCTGCGATCCCCCATCATAAAGTAGTAATTTTCACTGCTTTTTGTCTTACCACTATCAAGCAGATGTTTCCCACACAGTAAGACATCTAGGAAACAAGTGTTCCATCAGCATAGTTCACTGGGTTATTGTGATACACAAGGTATCAGTAGCTATAAGACAGAATATGAAGTGGAGGATCATAAAGACTCATGAAAGGTAAGCTACAGTCAAGTCATTCAGTCCGAACCCAATGGACGACATCTTTAAAAACTCGACCAAGTCATTGGAATTGGCGTCTGTCTTTCTAAAGTGTTGCTGAGCATTTAGTATAACACTGATTATTACTGGTCTCCTATGTTTCAGGTTTAAATGAATGCAGAGATAACTAAAAGTATGTTGATTTTTTGACCTGAATTGTTATCATCTTTAACTCTATGGAGATTGAGTTGGCATATATTGACGTATATTTGTTTTTAACGGTAATTAACGTTGGATTTGTTGATTAATCTATCTGTTTCGTACATTTTCCATCATCATCATCCTTTCCACCCTACTGTTTTGGAGAGAATCGTTTTCCCTGTCAGAGCTAGCCTTCAATGAAAATTTAAGAAAATTACTCACATAATACTATATAGGATATTGAATTTTTTTACTACGAAAAAACAGTTCACAGGAAGTGAATTGTGCGTATTTGTGTCAAGAATCAGATAACAGTTCAGGTTATAATATACTATACAGAGGAGAAATTCATTCATTCACAGGAAAAACTGATAAAGATGAGGAGGGAGACAATAGGTTATTTTAAAAAAGTTATGTACGGATATATATTTCTCACCTAACAGTTTTTTCTATAAATCCCATTAAAGTAATAAAAAAAAGTGGCAGTTATGCATGAATTAATAAGGTCACGGCAATTTAAACGAGAGAAAGCAAAGAATGATCGTATAGACAAAATAACTGGGTTCTGACTATACGATATGTGATCATCAAACTTTTCAGCTTGAAGTTTATTGAGAAAATCGCAGTATACGTGTACACAACCCTCTAAGTTTTGGGTTCAAACATTGAAACGATGGTAGGCGCTCAGTTTTCAACTGTTCCTATAAGTATAGTTTTACCAGAGTTTTTGCTCAATCAGATGATTGTATTTATTATGATGAATTGATCGATAAAAAGATTTCATCCCATGACCATAGTAAGGTTGACTAACACTCATTAACTTACATTATACGTGAAGATAAAAAGTGCTAATCTAATTATCAAGCAATAATGCTATAGGCTTGTGAGATACGACCGGTGAGGGTACACATAATATGAAAAAAAACTTGAAATCGTTCACCATGATGCAAAGACAACCGTCTGTTACATAGCCGGTAATAGTGATCTTAATTTTTATCAACTCACAGTGAGCTGATGGGATGAAATGCCGCTATATTCCTACTGACTTTGTGGTTGTTGGTTTCAGTCACATGTAATATACAACCCCATGCAAAACACGATGATTCTTGTTCGAGATTATTATCTAGCATTTTAGTTTTCGAGTGTATGCCAATAAATTTGAATGATCATTGTCCTGTCAACTGGTTAGTCAAACGTTATGAGAGTCACTGTGCTCTGAGCTGAATATCTTATATTTCAATTGGTGGTTTTGGGGGATTATTTGATTTCAAGGTAGTACTCATAACCGACTAGCATTAGATGAAGAACCACTGAAAACGTAGGAGCACTAGACAGCTGTTTTATCCTAGTAAGGGGTTCTTCAGTAGTGCGCACCCACAGCCACGTGGCTCAGTTGGCAGAGTGCTAGGCCGGAAACCAGGAGGCCATTGGTTAGAATCCTGCTTCGACTCCGATTTTCACTTTATCTTCAGTCATTTTGCGTGGCGATCTCAGACACACTGATTTTCACATACATTTTTGACAATTGTATTCCCTATTCTGTTCCTTTTCATTTAATAGGTGTTTCACAGTATGGTAAAGTTTTGTTATTGCGACAAGGTGTGACGGCGAGCGTTATTTTCCTGCTATCAATTTATTATTCTCCCTTAGATACTATTCGCAACACATCTGATTGAAGGTGAAGTAAACTAATGGATTTCGTGTATATCAAAAATAGGTTGATCTCTTTCACAAGTTACGCTTATCATTTTGACGCCACTATTATAGGACGAGCTTGGTAGTTCCAGAGTTATTACCTACTAATGAATCAGAATGCCTCAAGTAAACACCATTTTTCATCAGACTTGAATATTATATGATCAGTTTCCGATGAAACAAGATTTAATTGGTACTTCTTCACTTACCAATCCCATACCTTGACAATAACCAACATCTACATAGAGCCAAGCCAAAGCACGTAAAACTCGACGCAGTCGTGAAATACCAGTGGAGTTGGAAGAATGAAAACACAGGTTGTTCGGCATTGTACGGAAAAGATCCTTGTACATAGAAGAAATAAAGAAATACATTACTATGTTAAGACAATACATCTAATTACTAATTTACACCATGTAATGGATGCAAGACCTAACTGGTGTAGATATAAATCGAAGTGGATATGTTTTAAGCTTAATGTCTCAGAAATAAAAAAACGGGTCCTCCTGTGAACTCAAACATCTAGAAATGGCATTTTCACTGACTGACGTTGATGGAGAAGAATATGACGATGCTGACTGTGGAACTAGTGCGGCTTGTTAATTAAGTGAACACCTTCTTGGTTAAATCTTCAGTTTCCCCCAATAAGTTGCGTTCGATCTAAAGGCAGTAGTAATTCTAATTTTGGATGCATTCATTACCAACACAGTTACTGATTAGCACATTTTCCTTCACCTGGTTATTTCTTGAAGGCAGGTTGATTTTGGTTAAGAAGTCACTCCATCTAATATGGGCTTAAAGTGAATATGTATTATCTAGCACTTACAAAAGATATTTAAAGTTAAGGAATCCACTGAAACAATTGAGATTCAGTCAGTCAGAAATAAGTTATTGTCCTCCTTACCTTTGATGAGAAGCTGCTGAATTATTTGTTTTACACAGCACCGGTTTTGGACTGCATCATAGCTATTAGACTAAACACTTTATATGGTGTTTTGAGATTTACTCTTCAACTGGCATAGTTAAAAAGCCTTATTAGCATGCCTTTGCATATGAATAAAACAAGATCTAACTATTTCAGCTAACCACAGAGTAGGTTAATTATAGTAAATAAACTTCAGTGAAGTCCTAGAGAATTTTTGGATTTTCAGTATATTAGACAAAATGAAACTGCATCAAGCCAGGAAATCAATTTTCTCATACTTAGTGTAATGTTGTAGCAGAACTTCTTGGCTTTTTTGAATGATATATGGTGGAGTAGTACTAAACTGTCCTATTTTCAGGATATCGACTGTACATTCATTCCTCCAATGACAACGTTCAGCCTTACTAATCCTTCTCTTCATGAAGGATGGAACACATGTCGCATACACCACCTCCATGAATATCCATTTACACCCAGAAAATATTTTTGCTACAGAGATTTCATTGTGCTTTCTAGTTATTTAGCTTAAATATAGTTGTAAGGTTTTCGGAAATCGGAAAGGATATGCAGATTCGGCTTTCCTTTTTTCGTTCTAAAGATATGAGTGAAAATGACGTAAACGGCCATTAAACAGGTTTTCCAAAAGTGACTTTACAGATGGCTTGAAATTGTTTCGTCTGGCAATAAACTACAATAACCAAAATGTGAAGGTTAATGAAGAGTTATACGACTTGAGACACATTCCCTGAAATCATAATTATTCTGATGACTGCATTTTACTAAGAAGAGCTTTACGAATGGCTCAAATTTTACAATTTGGTGACAATTAGGATCCGTCAAACGGATTATGTAGCATAACTGAAACTCAACGACGATAAAATAGTCTTTTTCATACAAAGATTCTTATCTATGTACGTTACTACAATTCAGATTAATAAGCATTTGAGAACTAATAACCTTCAATCATGAATTAGTCAACATGGCATAATAAACAATTAACCTTTTCAATTTGAATCCCAGCCAAAAGTGTATCCGTAGAGCTGAGTTGAACTAGTTCTGTGTATGTGACAGAAGGGACACGTTGTTTGGACTGTTTTGATTTTAGTAAAGCTCCGGTAAGTCTAGGCCATATATGAGGTCGAAGAGAATGTGGGATACCAAGCTGTTCATCAGGTTTAGCCAGGGCTTCTACGTCTGAAGCCTGTCCTCTAACAAGTTCTGATAATCTCGGTGATTGAACTAAACGTGAATGTACTCTGGACCACAACTGATCTTCGTCTTCATCTACAGTCGATCCAACTGAACTATATCTGGTATCATGTTCATCTAGATTTGACACACCCAATGTGTGGGTATGTGAGAATTCTAAGCAGGTTAGCCAAGCACGTCGATTAGCGGAGGATTCAATGAATGGGCATGGAGGGCTTCCTTCTAAATCGAGAAAAAAGGAAAACATTAATTTGAAGGTTGGTCGATTCACAACAAACACTATCAGCAAAACAAAGCATATTGGGTAAATAATACACTTTAGGACAGCTGATGCATAGATTAGCCGGTGACTTAAGAGACACAGAAAGAAAGATTAATTGCTTTATGTAGACAAAAAAATAAGTGTCTACTAAGCATTATAAGGGACGTCTGTCCTACAACCATATCTTTATCGATATCTAATGACTTATAGTCAGTTATGGTATTATCACAGAGTTCGAACCCATGTGGACCACTATAGTAAAAAAGAATAGCACAAAAGAAAATAATGCTAAATAGATATCTCGTTATTATTTACGACACCTTATGAGTGACAATTATTGATTTCCTTTAGAATCATGGAAAAGTTATCAGAGGGCTAGACTAAAGCGTAGCATCAGTCGATGAAGTCTCTAACTGTTAGTATCAGTTGTGTAGGAATATGTAGACTGCCTGACTGTGGTCCTTAAGACCATATGAATATGTAGTTGAGGACTTTTAGTGAAATGGCTGAAAATCAGTCACAATGGAGTAGATGCATCCACTCTTTGAGGTCTTCGAAGGCTTGAATATTTGCACTGACCGTTATCTTCAAATTGTTTTATTCTCTAACACAATTTTATTTACTTTGATATCACTCTTGTTCTATCCACCTATTCTTCATATACTACTACTATCAAGCGTAGCAACTTGGGTCGATTTACTTGTGTGGGAGGTTCTACGTTGATCTTTCTGCTTTTCTGTCGAGAGGGTATGATGAGAAACGGGTCGCCGCTGAAATGAGATTTGCGGGTTATGAGTATCATTAACTGGAAGGAGTTCAGAATTGTCAATTACTAGATTTTGAATCATTAAGATGCTTTCAATGCAATATATCTTTAGGTCTCGATTTCTGAGGGCGTTTTAAACTTTTAGTTCGACGATAAAACGAGGCACAGTTATTCTAAACACCAAGACATATATACGTACTATAGCTTTTCCTTATTCCGAGAAATGATGATTTTAACCAAGACATCTTTCAAGAACGGTGAATCGAACATAGCATCCACACTGTTCGACGATAGTATACACTAATGGAATTATCAACAAAATATTCCTTCATAACTTGTAAACCCTTATCTACATTCGGTTCATTCAACAAAAGTGGGATAGATTAATATTGCTTTCCGCCTTCTGTTACCATGATAACAAACTTCTTTCGTGACAAATTTGATAATGTAGTTATGTTTTATTTTTTTATCATTTATATCATCATAATAATTAACGAAATCGATAAAGAGGTGAAAAAACAGCTATGGAGTTCTAGAAGAAAAAGAGTGCGACAGTATACATGCTGGCAATGCGAAAAATAACAAATGGTTGTGATATGTAATTATTTTTACTGTTCATATATCGGGTAGTCCATAGGCTATGTGACACCTACGCGCTTGTAGGCTTCAATGATATATATCAATGCTTTTAAGCAATAATAACGAAACTACCCGAAGATGAGACATATAATGTAATGCTATTGTCAATATATCTGTATATTCATATATATAAAAGAATAGTTTTATTTGTTCGGAACACAAATATTTTAAGCATGAGCAGCAAGAAATGCGCAATACATGCAATGTGCGTGAAACCTGTAGAAACCTATATACTATGAGCTACATGTAGAGCTCTGGCTCAATGGTTCAGGGAGATGACTATCAACCAGAGGGTTATGGCTTCGACCTCCGCTTCACTTACTGAGGTCGGGTAGCCAGGTAGTATTATTAGCTCTCACGCAAAGGTGTGGGTCATTGCCTACTGCACAAGGTGGTTGAGTGAATTCCGTTCCATAGGCCACATGAATTGTATAAAGGCTTAATAATACGTTCCTGTTGTCCACTAGATTGGCTACTTCAAAGTCGAACGCCTAAGTCAATGGGCCATACCAACACATAAAAGGATAACACCTGCACAAGCTAAACAATCAGTCCCTCGGACATAAAGACAATATTAATCTAAAGATTAGACTAAACAGATAGATCTGCTTGATGTGAGCTTTAACGGGTAATTTCAAGAAGGGTATTGTTCACGGTTTTTTACAGATTATTCACGTATGTTTAAAAAAGGTTCATTCTAGTTAGTTGCCGGTGACAGATCACTATCATTAGTGCTAACGTCAAGTTTTTACAGTTATTACAAGCATAAAGAATCAACGAACAGCAACATGACAGAGCAAAACATAAATCAATTCGCAAGTTTAACTATGACAGAATGTTGGAAATCTTAAAGTCTACGTCGTATAAAATTGAGTTATCCTTCTGCTGTATACATTAGATGTTTGAAGTTAATTTCAAAAATAAGTGTTCCCAAGCATAGTAGAAACTATATATTGGTGAAAGTAGTATATGAACGAACCAAACGCCCTCAGCCACCTTGTGGACATTCGTGGGTCGGACAGAAAAGTAAACGTAAGTTGGGTGGTAGGGGTTCATTCGTCTAGTATGACAATTTGCTGTCCCAGCTACGTGTTTCTGTAACAGCTATATGATGCATTGTTATGTATTCAGGGGCAAACTGCTGTCTACTGTGATATTTCCTCGCAGTCTTGTTGTTAACTCGTCTAACGATAGGTTGAAGACATTTTAAGAGTGTGTGATAGTATGTTTACGATTAGTTGACATTTGAATGGCTGAAACAAGAAGAAAATGAGCAATTTGATGAATTATTTTTGGTAGCCTGAAATTTAGGCAGGCCACTTTTAAGCGATTTATTAGAAATATATTTGTAATAGATGCTACATCATAATGATCAGTTTTAATTTCGATAATATTTTGAGTAGAATTACTACCCGTGATCCACCACCGTGGCCACCATAGGAACTGCTGAATATACCAATCAGGCTCCAGTATTTCGTCTGGGAAAGTACTTTTCCGTAAAATATAGGAATGTGATTGGCTGTTTCATCAATTACTAGGGTGGCCTTTAAAGCCACCCCAATGAAAAAAAGGAAATAAAGTCAACTGCAAACGTTTTGAATGCAACTGATGACAAGATAGACGCATGAACAGGGTTAAAGAGATAACTTAGTGCGGAAAATCACAAATTATGAACGCAAACGAACATCATGTAGCAAATGACACTTGCCGATATCACTACACTATGATAAGTGTGAATTACTCAAAGCGATTGTGAACGAGTAACATACTGATCATCAATAACTGATGGTATAATCTCATAGTAAACAGATCATATTTTCAGTAATTTACCAACAAAAAATCTTGTCTTAATACTGGGAGTACTCAACTCATGATGCCTCACAGTATAAAAACCCACTGCAAAAAACACCTACACGTAAACACAATACAATACATTGGATATAATGGAAAATGATTTATACAATTTGTGAAGTCACTTACTATGAAGGTGAAAACTATGTATATGTACAACACTATTATTTCTTTATTAATGAACTGAACTAACATACAGAAAATATTTACTTTTGGCAGAACTTCATTATTATGAATGAAAATAAGAAGTAACGTAGGGCTGTAGTCCTACACCGATTCCAGCTAGCAAATGACCATATAATTGTACACTAAACCTGATTTCCATCAGAAACCAATAACAAAAAGTTTTTTGAATGAGAGAGAAGGGGCGAGAGAGAGAGAGGGAGAGAGAAAAGGATGTGCTTGAAAAACAAACAGCTGGAGATTTCAAGGTTTTTTTCTGACTAATTCAGTAATAATATTTATTGTTGATGTTAGTTAGGCCAATTGTTTATTTGTAGGAATTATTGCCTGTGTTTATGCTGAGTTTACTTCGATAAAAGTGATTTCTTTTCAGTTGAAAAACAATATAAACATTAAAGCTGACATAACCAAGTTCACCTTATGGTGAGAAATAATTGGAAAAAAAGTAAAAAGAATGGAAAATGCTTTAAAACAGCAAATTAGCCAAGTAGAATCTCGAAAATTTTAGTTGTAATATTAGAATATGCAGGGATTTCGGTTCTAAATAATCGAATGATTTGTTAATTCTTCCAGAGTACAAACATTGGTGGATATGGTACTACCTTTTGAAGCAACTAACCATGTTTCATCATTAACTTGAATGATGCAGTCTATCAAAACGATTATCTTACCTCTTAGCAAACACTAATGAAGGTTGTATTCGAAGCATAAAGTGATATCCTTCTACTTGAAATCACCTAACCTGAGGCAATATTTGTACTCAGATATACCTTGGATATTCTCTAACTATGAAAAAACAAAGATATATCATGGTCCAAGCCAAGTATCGAGTTCTACTTTAGTAACTTGCATGACCCAAACTCCTTGTGATTTACTTTGCAGTGAAATCCTTATGAAATGATGCATCATTTGGAATCAAGTGATTGATTTAAGCGTGCGATATGACGGAACACTCAAAGAGTTATATAAAAAAGCACTAAGAAACATCAATCTGATCCCAAACAGCTATTGGTGAATAAGAACAAGATAAAGCAGTAGAAGTCGAGTTCCGTTTATTTTCACTCCGGAATGATGATAACCAGGACGAAAATTTATGCATGAATGTAGGGTTTGGTTAGGTAACTTTGAGCATTACCCATTGATAGAGTGAGTCTAAGTTGGTCAGATTAGGGACTGTGTAAAAGTTCAAATTTCTGGAAACTGTCTGTTTGAAAATACCATTTTTGTCATTTCAGGTAATATTTTTTAGGAAATAGTGATATTTCCTGAAGAAAGAGAGTAATAAAGGATAAGGTCTACGTGTCAGGCCTTTATGGACTTTTTTAAGATGCACCATCCCTGTTCAAAATATTGCTAGAAAAATGTAAGCAATGTATTCGAATCGAGTATGTCATGCTTTACAAAGATATTGCTTTGAATTTTTCACTGGTTTTGTTGAAACGATATTATAGATGAACCAACCACAGCTCTTCTGAAAAACCAACGAAGTGCACTCAACAACCTGTGCATGTTCTTGCAGTA